AACGGACTACCATTCAATGAATTTTAGTAATGAATTCGCACAATATTAAGGCTTCGGTTTTTCATCATTTCATGCCTAGTATCTTTGTTTGGAAGCCAAATGTCCATTCCCTTATTTTACCAGGCTCCTAACCACCTATTTAACTCATCCCGATATGAATAACACCTTTCATGTCTCTCTTGCACATGTTATTTCTAATTTGTCACCATTTCACTAACCATTTATTATTACGTAACTCATGTTCGATACTTGAAAATAAATTTCATTATTTTTGGCTATGCATGATGATATTATAGAAATAATATTTTCTCTGCTATACTGTTTTTATTAGGCGTGTATTTAGAAGCAGATGTGGATGTATTTCTGAAGTGTTACTAGGGCAAACTAAAGTAATGATAATATCTAATAGCTAACTTACTTACTTACTTACCTAGGCCTGTTACCCCTCATAGAAGAGCATAAGCATTTCCCATCCAAATCTCTCCTCAACAATCTTTACCACTTGTTTACAGCTGCCATTCAGTCTCTTGATATGTGCTTACAACTTTAGGCGAAATATGTTGCTGGATACTCCACTTTTTCGTTTCCCTTCACTATTCAAGCTTAGCACTCGTTTCGTGATACAGTTTGATGATCTCCGTAATGTATAACATAACCACTCCCAACATCTTTTCCTAATTACCACTTCATCTAGAAGTTAGTTTGTTCTCTCTCACAGCAGAATGTTGTCGGTGGTATGTGATTAACGGACATCGAATATCTTGAGTAGACAATTGTTTGTAAATACTTGTACATTTCTGATGATGTTTGTGGTAGTTGTTGAAATTCCAGTTCAGTTCAGTTCAGTTCAGTCGAACTGTGTTGACGTTCATATTGAAGATTGTGATATTGGTGTTGACTGGTTGATAGGTGTTTTGAGTTGCATACGTTGTTCAACTGTAGAAATGTAGTCCTTACTTTTGCGATCCATGCCTTCACGCTTGCATGAAATCGTCCATTTTGATTGATGACGCAGGCCTTATATGTGAAGGTTTCGAACTGTTGTAGAGCTTCTCCATCGAGTGTGTTTATGTTGGTGTTGTGCGTGTTGTATTTGAGGATGTTGCTTTTTGCTTCGTATGTATCGAAGATTACAGGTACACCTTGTTGACGAGTGCCAAGTAGCACGAAACCCGGGTCCAGGGTTTCCTGTTGACTACCTCCAACTACCATCTAAATCTTAATACATAGTGCCCACAGTGTCGAGTCACCTAGACTGGTGGCCACATTGCAACATGATCGATAGCATTCGATCTGCACTAATAAGGACTAGACAAACATGACATTGATCACCACCCACTGATCAACCAATTGTGATTACATCTCAGTCCTACAGGAGGTCAGTCGCGGCTCGGATAGCTCAATGGTGACGTCTCTGACTGTTAAGCTGGGTGACACGAGATCGAATTCATCAGGGAGCACCAGTTCCCTCAAGATTACAGGTACACCTTGCTGACGAGTACCAGGTAGCATGAAACTCGGGTCCAGGGTTTCCTGTCGACCTCCCCCAACCACCATCTAATATATCGAAGCGTACTGATGCAGGAGCTGGTGCTGCCGAACTAGTTTTCTTCATCTGTATTTGTTTGTGTGTATGTCATAGAAGTGTTAGGTGAACTAGGATGTCCGAATCATCTAGTTGCGTGCATTCTGTTCATTGTATTCTATGCTTCTCCTCGAATATGGAGGTCTTCATAATCCAGTCAGTTGTGCCTGCTTATACTACTCATCACATAATTGTTGCTTATTTTTGTTAGAGTGTAAATATCGATTCACACTTGATTAAATGGAGTTGACTCACTCACCTTCTCCACTCCGCTTCGTTCAGCCTAACTTTCGCAGTTCCATTTCCTTGATTGTCTGTCCAGATCCTCGATTTTATCAAATGTATACATTCAAACTTCATTTTTATATTTGACTTATTTAATTCCGTTATTCATTAACATGAGTTAAGTCGATGATTATGTTGGAAGTTTGCCAGTGTGACTATTTCAATAACAACCATTGAATAACCATCATCACACGATGTAACTGCAGTCAGATATCGGGCCACTAATTATTTTCTATAAGTTTCTTCTTTCCACACTATCAAATGCTTTCTTATAATGAATGCGGTTGATGTAATGACAAATTCCATCAACGGTGATCGTTGATGTCGTGATTTGTTTTGTGCACCAGCGATCCCTAATGAATTCAGTCTGCTTATCTCGAAGCTGAGTGTCCACTATATCTTACATCCGGTTCAGCAACACTCTGTTGAAAACCTTTGCTGGTACTTACAGTAGTCTGCTTTCTGTGCAGTTCTCACAATTACTCAGATCTCCTTTCTTTGACATATTGATGAGGTATCCTCCTTTCATTCTGTCAGTGCTTGTTCTCTCTCCGTAATCTACCTGAATAGAGCGTGAGACATGTTTGCAGTTGCTTCTATGTCCGACTTCAGGTTCAGCTGGTAAATTGTCAGGTCCTAATGCATTTCCACTCTTGATTTTTCTGACAGCCATCGTGATTTGTTTGATCGAGTGACATCTAAAGGAATGCCTGTATGTGCTATTTTGATATTAGGCGGATTTAGTCGAGTAAACCAATCTAAGAGTTTCTCGAAATGCTCTGCCCACTTGTTCCCCTGTTCTAAATCTAAGTGACTGCCTTGCATTCTTTGTCCTTCACCGATCTCTCTGGTTTACTATATTACCCTGATATTTTTTTGTCGTGTCATATGTTTATTTCATATTTTCTTCCATTGAAACTTTTACCGTTTCTTCTAATATATCTTATCAGTCTTGTAACCTGTTGTTGAGAGTTATCTTGAATTCTTCGAGTTTGTCAGTACCTCTAAGGAAGGCTATATTGGACATGTGTAATGTTGTTTCTTTAGTTGTGCAGTGCTTTCTTAATTTCAGTTTCAGCATGGCCACAACCACGTGGTGATCTAAAGGTATGTCAGCTCCCATGATACCCATGTAGCTTTGTGAATGTGTTTGTAGGGGAATGTTGTGCCACCTAAAATCATTTCTTAAATGTACATAAATTTGCAAATTTGTCACCATTTCCGTTTCTTTTTCCCAGTTCATGTGGTCTATGATATCTTCATATCAGGCGCTGTCCATTCCGACATTGGCGTTTAGATTTCCCATCAAGATGTTAAAATCCTTTCCTTCAGCTTCTCTAAAAACTAATCATTATAATCTTCATTGCCATCATTGGTGTGTGCGTAACACTGGATAACATTCATTGTGGTCCCCCTTGGTAAATCTTAATCTATTTGATTACACCCTATAAAAGCTTTTCGTGCTTCTTCGGATAGCATCAGAACAGCTTCTTGCGTGTGCGGAGAATTTCTTTCCTCATGACCAGTGTACAACAACATCTCTCTCTCTATTTGACTGGTCATTTCGGTCTCCCACGTCGTTTGAATATCCCATGTACCTATATTAATTGTTACACTGGTTGTCAAGAAGGGCAT